GAGTTTCCCTGGTGGTGCCCAGAGTGGCCACCAGGGCAAGCTGGGAAGGGCTAGCCTCCCACTAGTTCGAATTAAGTGGCTACACAGCCCTTAATTCGAACTACTTAATTCGAACTAGGCGTTAGTCCTCGTAGAATGAGGTTTACCTAGTTCGAATTAAGCGCTCCGCTAGTTCGAATTAAGTTTGAACTAGCGGTATGTATGTGTAGCTCCTATGAAAGTTAATTCGAACTAACGGCTGTTAGTTCGAATTAACTTTTAGTATAGACATACCCATACTTCCTGTATTCAATACTTTGTAGTACTCTACTGTATAGTCCTTACCTACTTTCAGATAATACTTTTTCTTTTTCCCTTCCTTCAAGGAATGTTGCTGTTTTCCTATTCATATTTTTCTTTCTTCAGGATGAATATCTAAGTACCCAGTATCTGCAATGGTGATCACTTAGGGTATGTCTACACTACCATCCTAGTTCGAACTAGGGTGGTAATGTAGGCAACCGGAGTTGCAAATGAAGCCCAGGATTTGAATTTCCCGGTCTTCATTTGCATCTCGCCAGGCGCCGCCATTTTTAAATGTTCGCTAGTGCGGACTCTGTGCTGCGCGGCTACACGCGGCACGGACTAGGTAGTTTGGACTAGGCTTCCTAGTCCGAACTACCGTTACTCCTCGTGAAGCCTAGTCCGAACTACCTAGTCCGTGCCGCGTGTAGCCGCACGGCATGGAGTCCGCACTAGCGGACATTTAAAAATGGCGGCACCCGGATTTATGCAAATAAAGCCCGGGAAATTCAAACCCTGGGCTTCATTTGCAACTCCATATGACTGCATTAACCACCCTAGTTCGAACTAGGGTGGTAGTGTAGACATACTCTTCTTTTCTAAGCTGAAGAGTTCCAGTCTTTTTAATTTCTCTTCATATGGGACCCGTTCCAAATCCCTCATCATTTTTGTTGCCCTTTTCTGCACCATCTCCACTGCCAATATATCTTTTTTGAGATGAGGTGACCACATCTGTATGCAGTATTCACCCTGCACCCCCTCCTGCCCTCCTGCCCCAGGTTACAACACTCCCCCCAGACCCAGCTCTCTCTTCTCCTACACCCCACCCCTGGGCCAGAATCCTCTCCTGCACCCATAGCCCTCCCAGACTCTGCACCCAAACTCCCTCCCACAGCGCACTCCCCAGTCCCTTACCCCAACCTCCTTTTTGCACCCAACCTCCATCCCAGACCCTCACACCTCTTCCATTCATAATGGAATGTGCAGCCAAATTCCTGGAATGTGCCCCCTCCCATCAAAAATTATTGCCCAACCCTACTCTGCACCCTCCCCCCTGGCCAGACACCCTATCCCAACCCTCTCCTGAACCCTCCCTTGCTCCTGCATCTCCCCCCTGGCCAGACATTTACCCCCACTCTGGTCCTGCATCCATCGCTGCTCTTGCTCCCTCTCCCCAGCCAGACACTCTCAGTCCAGTCTGTTTCTGCACTCCACCTCCCACCCAGATCCTGTACCCCTTCCACTCACCTGCACCCTGCCCCGCACACTGAACCCCTCCTTGGTGTCCCCACCTCAGAGACTAAGGAGGTCCATGAAGTCCACTACCTCCAGTGTGACAGACCCCCCTCCCACGCTTTATGAACTGGACTCATGGACATGATTACATAACTCAAAGGTGCTTTGAGCGAATTATTTCATGT